GGGGGCATGGGGGCGGAGAAGAGAGAGAAGCAGTTGCACATTGGCAGCCCTTGGACTGTCTCAGGTCCACAGACAGGATGCTTGTTCATTTGTTTGAAAGCAGGACATTTCACAGGGCAATCTGGCTTCTTACTTCTCTTAAAACAGTGGAAGATCAGGCAGTGCTGAGTCCACATTCCCACTGGGCAGCAATTGGCTAGACCTAGGACCACCTACCCAGCCCCTGGAGGCATCTTTTTCCTAAGTCCTTTCAGACCCCTTTAAATGTTCTCCTTATATCATGCTTAATTATTGGTTTTACAGTTATTTTTTCCTAGTCTTTGAAATCAAGTTTTGGCCATGTCTCTCCCCTATGTAAAACCCTTCACTAGCTGCCCCCAAGGCGAGCTCCAAGTTTCCCAGGGCCAGGCACTTGCGGTGCTGTCGTCCGGTGCGACTCAAAGCCTGAGAGCTGGGCAGGATGTTTATCGTCGTGGATGGGTGGATGGATGGGAGGACAGAAGGAGCGCTGGAAGAGAGGCCAGCCCAGCAGGGCGTGCAGGCTGATGCGAGAGGCCTGGATACCCAGGGAAGCCCATGTGCATCCAGAGCCCTGCATCCCACCACGCAGCCAGACGTGGGCTTCCCAGGATCAGGGGCAAGGGGTCGGAGCTCAGTGGGTGAGCAAGAAAAGCCATCTGGAAGAAGTAAGCGACCAGGTGGCTCAGACACACTCTCTCCACCCCAGGCTCCCACCTAGATACATCACCATGCGTCTCCTCAGCCCCTGGCTCCTGCTCCTTGGTAAGGACTGTGGCCTGGGCTGGTGCTTGGGTTCTGGGGTGACTGTGGGGCTGGGGGAGGAGGAAAGATCTGGGGCAGAGAAGAGCAAATGTGGGGTAGGGGAGAGACAGGCAGCGGGCACGTGTATATGTGCTGCTTTCTTTGTGTGTGTGTGTGTCTCCCTCTCTCTTCAGAGGGGATTCTTTACACCTCTGAAAGCTCTCCATGCCCCTCAATAATGCTTTCTGATCACTGTGGTGGGTTCCAGAATACTTGGCTCTTTCTGACTCAGAAACTTGGAAGGTTGAGCACCCGGCCACCCTCTACGCCTGGGAGGGGAGCTGCTTCTGGATTCCCTGCCGCTACACAATCCCAGGGAATAAAAATACCCTGAAAAACCTGACTGTGTACCACAATTTTACGTTTGACGAAAAAACCAAGGAGTACACAGGGACAGTCCTCTACAAGAAGACAAAGATGGAGACGCCTGTCCATCAGAAAAGGGTACAATTCCTGGGAGACGACACATCCAACTGCACCCTACTCATCAACCCTGTCCAAGCCCAAGACCATGGTCAGCTGGGGCTGAGGATGGTATCGGAGGCTGGCAAATGGATGGAGAAAATGTCCCTCCAAGTCTCCAGTAAGGCCCTGGGGGGGGTGTCCCCTGCTTGGGGCTCAGGCAAGGAGGGAAGTGGGAAACGCCGACTCCTGGGACAGGGGCCGCAAGCAGGGGGCCAGTGAATGACTTGAGCAGCACAAGACAATAGGCTGTGGGCATTTGGAGCATGAGCGCTTTTCCCCCTCGAGCAACCCACCTGCCACCAGATCCTGCCCATTCTGGAATCGGAATGCCAGGGTACCTGATTTTACAAGAGGAGATAAAACTCTAGATGTTTAAGTAAAATCTTGCAATGCGTTAATGCTGGTGATTCATTCTAATTGGCCCTTCACAGCTAAGTGACACACGCGTGGGCGTGGGAGTGGAGTAATCACAGGGCTGGGGCCTTCACCTCAGGGCACATGCTCGCTGGTTTTATAGCCTCTCTTCAGTGGGTGGTCTAGGCAGCCCCGTGTTTGGGGTAAGATATGTAGCTTTGGACCCTGCAGTCTGCAGGCCTGGGCCCGGGAGAGCTGGGATTGGCTGCCCCCAGTCCTGCTCACTACAGGGACCCCCTAAAGGAACGCTGCTTGGGGTGCCTCCACTAGTGAGGCCGTTAAACAAAGCAGGCTTGTCGTCAAAGCTAAGAAAATGGTGAAATTCACGTAGGGGCGGTGGGGAGTGCGATCTTGCAAATGTTTAGAAAGCAAACATTTGGGAGTGAGAACCGAGGAAGTACAAAATATGCCGTGTGAGTCCTAAGGAGGTTCAGCACTCACAAGACCTTTCAGAGGGTGCTTCGGGGGAGCAAAAGTGATTTAACAGAGAAAGGCAGGCCTGGCGAGAGGTGGGTGGACTGGTAAGGGGACTCGGGCAGGGCGTCTGCAGCCAGGGTAAGAGGCTAGTGTGCGGCGGCCCTCAGTCCTCCAGGCTGCCAGCAGGCTCCCTACTCTTTTGCAGAGACTCCTTCTCAGCCTCACATTGAGCTTCCCAGAGAAATCTGGGAGCTCCAGGAAGTCACTCTGACCTGCAAGCTGAATTTCGCCTGCTTCGAGTACCAGATCCAACTGCAGTGGGCCCTGGAGGGATCAGAGCCACTTCCCTCTGTCCTCTCCACTTCCCTGTCCACCAACATGGTCTCCACCTCCAGCCGGCTCACTTTCCAGCCTCAGTGGACTCACCACGGCAAGGCTCTGACCTGCCAGCTCCTGAACAACACAGGGGACGGGCTCCTCTCTCAGAAGACCGTGCAGCTAAATGTGAAGCGTGAGTCTCTCCAGGGCTCCTATGGGCAGGATGAGGGACTTGGCCTCTTCTCCCAACACCCCAGTGAGCACCCAGGGTAGCAGGAGCCTCCACAGAAGGGAGCACAGTCCGTCTATGCGCCCCTGGAGCGGGAATGGTCCAGGCTGAGCTGGGTTCCCTCCTCCACCATCCCTGTTGTCAGCCCTGGCATGTCAGGAAACGGATTTGCTTTAGCATCTGCTTTGGTCCAACAGAATAAAATATTTTAATCTATCATCAAGCAATAACATGATTCTGGGATCATCTGCTTAGGGGGGTGAAGGACTTTTTTATATCATTCATTCATTCGTTCAATAGATATTTGTTGCAAACTTACTAGGTGCCAGGTCTTATTTATGGTTGCAGGGGAGACAGCAGTGAGCAAAATTCTTGCCCACGTGGAGCTAGCATTGCAGTGGGAAAGACAAACAATAAAGAAATCAACAAAGAAATAGAGAACATAACAGTAGGTAGTGCCAAGTGTGTTGAAAAAAGAATAAAGCAGGGCTTGGACAGAGGAAGTGAGAGAGGGGGACTTCGTGAGGCAGGTGAACTTGAGCTGAGACTTGAGTGAAGGGAGGGACTGAGGCAGGCAGATATTTTTGAGAAGATTCCAGAAAGAGGCAAGAGTGAGGGCCAAGTTTTGAGGTAGGAACTTGGTGTGTCTGTGACAAGCAAGGGGCCACAGAGGCTTGGCACCATGTCTGAGGGGCTCAGTGTAGCAAAGGATGGTGGACTCACCACAGCAAGAATCTGACCTGCCAGCTCCGGAATGACACAGTGCACTTGAGCTTGTGAGCAATAGTCCGGGTTTTGAATTTTATTCTAAGTGTCGACTCCACTGAATGGTTTCAAGCAAAGGAATGACAAGGCCTGATTGACAGTATTAGGAGTGCTGCTGGCTGCTGATGGAGACCAGAACTCTGGGGACTGGGGCTGGGAGGAGCAGACACAGGAGTTAGGAGGCGGTGACAGTTGCCATCTCACGCTTGTTGACAAGGGGAACAGAACAGTGAGCGGCTGCATACCCTACATGCTATATGCAGGCCACTGCTTTATCAGAAGAAAAGCCTGGCAACTTCTTACAGCTTTACACCCTCTGAGAATTGCCTGTCCCCTCCCTCCCTGTCCCTCTGCTCCTCCAGACTCCCCAAAGTTGAAGGTCAGTCCTGAAGTAGCCATTGTAAAAGAGGGTGACCCTGTGACCATGATGTGCCAGATCATCAGCAGTAACCCGGAGGCCCAGGCTTTATCTTGGATCAAGGATGGACAGCGTGTGAGAAGGAAGGAGACACCGCAGAGGGAGGAGACTCTCATGCTAACTCTGTTCAGCACGACCAAGCAGATGAGTGGAACGTATCACTGTGAGGCCTACAATTATATAGGCTCAGCAATGTCAGAAGTGGTCCTCCAAGTGCACTGTGAGCCTCCTGGGAACTGTGGAAGGGCAGGCAGGGAGTTAGCAGGGTGGAGCCAAGGCCCTTAAGAGGCCAACAGCTGAGGCCTCTGCTCAACTGCCCCACTTGCCTCTGCCCCTTTTTCCAGATGCTCCGGAACCTTCCAGGGTTCAGATCTCCCCCTCACCAGCTAAGGAGGAAAATACAGTAACGCTGACTTGTATATCAGGGGCCAATCCTCCTCCAACCAATTATACCTGGTATCACAATAATATTGAAGTGTCAAGAGGGACAACCAACACCTTCCAGATCCCAAAGGTTCTCCGCAAGCATGCTGGAAGTTATTCCTGTACGGCAGGAAACAGTCTAGGTACTGGAGGAGTTGGCCAGGAGGCTGAGTTGGATGTCCAATGTGAGTAGTCACAGAGCCTCGGGGCTCTAGAGGGAGGAGATTTCCACCTTCCTCCTCTTGGGTGGTGGAGGAAGGCAGATGAGCTCAGGGCATCCCTGGGTTCCTAGGACGGACAGCAAGCAGAAGCCAGGATCTCCTGACATGTGAGCTCCTTGGGGCAAGTGTGCTATTGATCACAGTTGTATTCTCAGCGCCAGAAGAGGGCCTGGCTGGTGGTAGCTGCTCAGTAGATGTTTGTTGAACGAATAAACTGTGAGATACCAGGGCCCCATGAGGGACACAGAGACCTGGCGTCACTAAGCAGTGGCTGAGTCCCAGAAGGGGTCCTGAAGTTTTCGAGGAGAACTGGGGCAAAATGTGTCATTACCTCTCCATCATCAGACCCTGTTTAACACAGTGAATCTTGTCACCGAGTTGAGCCCAGGACAAAGAGAATCTATAGTTTTCATCTTTGGACCCTGGAACCTTATCGTCTGGGCCAGACAGGCTGACCGGAATGCACAAATCCTGAGCTTCTAGACAGCCCCCTGTGTGACAGCCACAGCGACGCCTGTTTGTTGAGTGTTTACCACACACCACACCGCTCTAAGGGCATCGTCTTATTTTGTCCTGGCAACAATTCTACAAGGCTAGATACTCTTAGGACCTCAATGACGGATGAGTAAACTGAGGTCTGCAGCCCATGGCCTGCATCTTTAAGGGCAGGGCTGCAGCTTTAAGTGGCAGGGAGAGGCAGCCTGGCTCCAGAGCTGTGCTTTTACTATTGTGGTGGTGGTGGTGGTTAATTGTTATTAGCACTGATGCTGCGGCCACCCAGCGGTGTGCCCCAGACCCTTGCAAAGACCCCCGCACAGCACCACGTGCTCTCTGCCAGAGCTGTGCCCTTCACCGCCGCACCTGCCTCTCACAGCCAGGCCAAACAAGAAGGGCAGGGTTTCTGTCCTCACACAGAGGCAAGAGGGGCGTGCGAGCCTTCCTGTGGTTAATTTAGGGACTGTGTGGATGCAAGGGACAGGTAGATGGCGAAGAGGAAGGAAAGGTATTATGAACAGCTAACTTTTCTTCACTGATTTCTCTCATTTCTCCCAGATTCTCCCAAGAATGTCACCATAGTGATTCAAAACCCCACACCAATCCAAGAAGGAGACAGTGTGACCCTGTCCTGTAACTATACTTCCAGTAACCCCAGCGTTACCACATATAGATGGCATCACCAAGGCCCCTGGAAAGAGCTGACACCTGGGGTGCTGCTGATTCCAAAAGTTGCCTGGGATGCCAGCCCACTCACATGTGCAGCCTGCAACCAGTGGTGTTCATGGGCTCCATCTGTCAGGCTGCAGGTCCAGTGTGAGTGACCGGGCAGGGGCATCTGGGAGGTGGCTCAGGTGGGATATGGAGCTCTAAGGGCGAGGAGGCTGGACCCTGGGCCAGAAAATGTACAAAAAATTGAGGGATAAGAGTCAGGGGTCAGCACCAAGGGGAGAGGAAGTCCTGGGGACAGGAAGAGGGAGTGGGACCCTGGAGGTCAGACTGAGGTCCTTGCTTCCCCAGATGCCCCCAAAGATGTCAAGATCCTGCCGATCGGCCTGCATTCTGAGATCCACTCTGGGCACCCAGTCCTCCTGCGATGCAACTTCTCAAGCAGCCTCCCCGCTGACGTCCGCTTCTTCTGGATGAAAAACGGCATCTTTCTGAAGGAAGGGAGAGAACTGAGCTTTGGCTCCGTCTCGCCAGAAGATGCTGGAAATTACAACTGCTTGGTCAACAACTCCCTGGGACAGAGCACGTCCGAGGCCTGGGTGCTCCGAGTGCTGTGTGAGTGGCTGCAGCTGAGGGCGGAGGGGGGCAGGTAACTGGCCACCCGGCTCCTGACCTCGCTTCTCCTCACAGATGCACCGCGGAGGCTGCGGGTGTCCATCAGCCCCAACGGCAGTGTGATGGAGGGGAGGAAGGTGGTCCTGACGTGCGAGAGTGACGCCAACCCTCCCGTCTCCCGCTACAGCTGGTTTGACCGGAATAACCAAAACCTGCACCATGAACATCAGACCCTGAGATTGGATCCCGTGACAATCCAGCACTCGGGAGCCTATTGGTGCCAGGGGGCCAACGGACTGGGTGTGGACCGGTCATCCCCCAGCACCCTCGCTGTCTACTGTAAGGCCCCTTCCCCTCTTCTTCTCTGGCCTTGGCCACTCCCGTGGTTTTCCTTCAAGGCTGTGCATTTCAGACCATGCACCCCTTCTTCCTCCCCTCTCCCTCCCTAGCCTGTCCGGCCAGCCCAACCTGTGTGCTCAAAGGCACCCCCTGCTCCACCAGCTCCCCTGGCTCCCCTCCTTCCCGCCCAGTCTCTCCTGGCTCTCCAGGAGGATCCCTCGCAGGCTGCTTCCACCTTCCAGACATCCTGAGCTCCCACTGGGTCCTTCTCTCTCTCTGTCTCTCTATGTTAATTTTAAATATGTTTTTAAAAATTGATTTCAGAGAGAGGAAGGGAGAGCGAGAGAGAGAGAGAGAAATGTCAGTGATGACAGAGAGTCATTGATCAGCTGCCTCCTACACCCCCCCTCTCCCTCCCCCGGGGATCCAGCCCACAACCTGGGCATGCGCTCTGACAGGGAATCAAACCTTGATCTCCTAGATCATAGGTAGACGCTCAACCACTGAGCCAGGCCAGCTTGGCAAGTGCATGTTTTTTAAAGACCATACGAGTGCATGGTAAAGAACTAAAACAGCACAAAAGGTAAATAGTGGAAATGAAGACACCTCTCCTTTCTTGCTCCCTGAGGACTCTGCCCCCTCCTTCGGAGCCTTCCCTGCTGGCAGCTGTTTACGTCTCCTCGGAGAATTCTGTGTGTGCACAACCTGCTTCTATACATCTATGTCCACACACCCTGAGCTCCCCCACCCCATGTCGTAACACCACTTGGAGAGTGTGTATTCAGGGTGTCTAAAGAGTCTGGAAACATAGGGAAGATATTTATTTATTATACTTTTTCAGATTTATGATTGGAGCTATGGCTTTAAATTTAGAGGATCGTTGCCTGCAAGGCTTGACACTAAAAGGAATTAGCCTGAGCTTGTAACACATTGTATTAGAACAGGTTCCCTGGCTCTCCACTTTGCAGACACCCTGGAGACCTGCCTCTTTTCCTAAGGGCTGTGCTGTATCTGCTGCCTAACTTACTACCCAGTGCCCTCCTCAAGGTGTGTGCAGTCTCCTGCTCGGGGCACCCCTGCAGGGATAGTTGTAGGAGAAATTCCTACATGGAATAGCTGGGCCAGAGGACAGTTTTTTGAAGTCCTGATAGTATGGTCAAAGTGCCCCCTGAAGAAGTTGTACCCATTTATGAGGGTTACATGCTTTGTGTATGCCCCTGCCTGTCACAAAGCAGGACCTCCTGGGCAGGTCCAGAGGGCAGGGACTGGCTTCTCCCTCTTTGTCTGCATCGTTTCCCCACTGGAGGAGATCATGCAGGAGAAAGGACAGGGCTCTACGGAGAGACCAGGCGACTGTCCAGGGCAGAGTGGGCAGGCGTGTGACTGAGACAACGGCATCCACGGAGGGCCCTCCTTTCTCCTTCAGACAGCCCAGAGACCATCGGCAGGCGAGTGGGCCTGGCGCTGGGGCTCATCCTGGCCCTCCTCCTCCTGACAATCTTGGGATTCAAGATTCAGGGAAGGTGAGCTCCTGACGCTGCCGTCCTTCCCTCCTGTCCCCCCTCCTGCTCGCCCTCAGCCCATTCAAGGGAGTAACTCCAGCTACTCCGTCCTGGCCTGGCCTGGCCCGGCCCGCAGGCCACAGCTGCCACCCCACAGGGCCCTGCCCCATTCCCTTGCTCCTCACAGAGCGGGTCTTTCTTTCTTAGCTGGAAGAGAATTCAGAGCCAGCAAGGGCTTCAGGAAAATTCCAGTGGGCAGAGCTTCTTTGTGAGGAATAAAAAGGTAGGGTGGCAGACAGACGGAGTGGAGGGCAGACCCTCAGTCAAGCAAAGAAACCCAGTGACAGGGGGTGGGGGAGAGGGAGAGCCCCTGGAGAAGCCCTGCAGGCAGCGGCAGGGGAGGGGACCGCGGTGGGGAGAGGAGGGCCACGAGCTGAGACCTTGTCTCCCTTGCAGATTAGAAGAGCCCCCCTGTCGGAAGGCCCCCACTCCCTGGGCTGCTACAATCCCGTGGCGGACGATACCATCAACTATGCTACTCTGCGCTTTCCTATGGGGGACACACCGAGGACTGGGTACTGAGGGGACCAAGACGGTGACATCTGCACCCTGGGAGTGCGGTGGGAGGGAGGAAAAGCCCATGTCCCACCTGCCACCTTTGTGCCAAGCCCGTGCCAGGCAGCACCACATTCCTATTACCCGCCCCCTTGGGTAAGTAATGGTCTCAGGAGCTGGAGCTGCCCCTTCAGCCAGGAGAACGTATGCCCAGAGTCAGTCTCTGTCACTGAGGGTAGGACCGGTGCTCACTCATCTGACACCTCAGCTCCTACTGTGAGCATTAGGCTGAGAGGCTGGGGTGCTCTTGGGGTCTAGGGGAGCTAAAGGGGGAGGAAGGAGTTCGTGAGAAATGATTCATTTGTGGTCATCTATCTGTCCCCCCTCTCAGGGACGCAGGGACCTCAGAGGGACAGAGACCTTCCCTAAACAGGGAAGACACAGTCACTTACTCTGTGGTTCAGAAGCGTCAAGTGGTAAGAGGGCAGGGCTATGGAAGGGAGGCGGTGGAGGTCCTGGCCCCAGCTCTGAGTCCCAGATGGGGACACTTGGGAGGACTCAGTGGTGTCAAAGGCTGGGCAGTGGGGAGGCCTCTTGAGCACAGGGCAGGCACCTCCCAATCTGAGGTGCCAGCGGCAGCCAGTTTCTGGATAAGAGTGCTCCTGCTCGGGCTTTTGATCCCCCAGTGGAGTGAAGGAGAGAGGGGCAGAGGCTGGTGACCATGAGCCCAGCTGACCATGATGTGGCTCTCTCAGGGCGACTATGAGAACGTGACTCCAGGTGTTGCAGAAGACGACGGGATACACTACTCAGAGCTGGTTCACTTGGGGTTCGGGGAGCGGCCTCTGAGAGAAGAAGGAGTGGAATATGTGACCCTCAAGCACTGATGGGTCCAACTGGCTGAGGTGGAGGTGCCCAGGGGCTGTAGGGGACAGGATAGTCATGGCCCCTGCAGCTCCTGCTGCTCAGCTGAGAACTTGCACAGGCTCCCCTTGTGTGCACACGCACACACACACACGCATGCATACACATACACATGCATGCGCACACACACAATTACTGCATCCAGTCGGTACAGAGACCTTTGGGCATGGCCCAGAGACAGTCTTCCCTCTCAGCATTGGTAGCCACAACCATCCCAAAGGCCAGGCCCTGATCTTTCCCCACGCTCCTTCCCTCCCATAAACTCACCTAAACACTCAGCCTGCGCTGTACATATCCCCCTGCCCCACCCCAGCCATCTGCCACCCCCTCCAAAACTGTCTCTATCCCTGTGGGGATCAGCTGCTCGCTAGCTTTCCTTCTTTCCCTCCCCAACCCCTTGACACCCCCCTCTCACCCCACTCTGATAGCCCCATTCACTAATCTTACACCTAATTTCTGCCTCTGGAGCAAAGTCCAGAGAATGGGACGTAAATGGGGTAGAAAAAGGAACTGTCTGGCACTGGTTTCTCCTCTGCGTGAGAGAGGCATCCCACGGGGGGGATCTCGAGGCGGTAGCCCCACCCTCAGGGGTCTGGTGGTCTGAGACATACACCAGTGCGCACAAACATGTAACAAGCACAGAGTTGCACAATAAAAATGGCTCGATGTTACCTCAAAGAATCAATCAGCTATTTCCCGTCTGTGGAATCAGAGTAGGACCGGGACCTGGAGAACACATCATGGATGGGGCTTGGGGAGGAGGGTTGAAGAGCCTGGAAGAGTTTTGAAGAGGGTTGAAGGGGCTTGAGGAGTCTGTTAGCTTGTTGCAAAGAGTGCACTGGGTCGGAGCCGGGGTCTGCCTCTTCTACTGAACTAGCCGAGCCACCTTGGGCGGAGTTCACCAGCTTATCTGAGCCTCAGTTTCTTCCTCTGTGAAATGGAGATGCCGCTACCTATTGTCCATGTGGTTCAAGGTAGGAAGCGATGTATAATCTCACATTGCTGGAGTCCTGTTATAAGAAGCCTTATGCAATAGCCAAAAGTCCCCCAAACCAGATGCCCATCTTATTTTCATCTTTTGGAGAATGCGAAAAGGGGAAGCCAATTCATTACACAGCTATTCTCAAAAGTGACCCTGCCAAGTTCTTTTATAATCCACAGATGTCTAAGAGCTCTAAGGTCAGCTGCCTTAAGAAACCTCTCAGCTTCCCCTTCCCGAGAGCGGCCAGAGGTGACCTCTGAAAATGCCTCACTGTTCACTTGGCCCAGAGACCCCCCCACAAATTCATGCAAATCAAAAGGTTCAAATCTTCGTGTTTACTTTAAGAACACTCGTGAAACTGCCCAGGCCATCAAGGGTATGCATATCCAAAAAGCCACCAAGTATCTGAAGGATGTCACTTTACAGAGGCCATGTGTGCCATTCGTCATTACAGTGACAGACTGGGTAGGTGGCCCAGGTGAAACAGTGGGTCTGGACACAGGGTCGGTGGCCCAAAAAGACTGCTGAATTCTTGCTGCACACGCTTAAAAATGCACAGAGCAGTGCTGAACCTAAGGGTTTAGATGTCGATCCTCTGGTCATGGAGCGCATCCAGGTGACGAAGCTCCCAAGATGCGCGTGGAGCTTACAGAGCTCATGGGCGGGGTAACCCACGGGAGCTCCCCCTGCCACAGAGGGTCGCTCCTGAAAAGGAGCAGATGGCTCCTGAACCAGAAGAGAGGCTGCGCAGAAGGAAAAGATGTCCCAGAGGAAACTGGAGAAATAAAACCTTGTGGCCTGGGAGTAAATTCAACATAAAATAAATACTAATAAAAGTAAAAGCAGGAAAAAAAGAAACCTCTTAGCTTTTCTACTGTGCGCTGTCGCTCCCACCAGTTCCCTATTTTGTCACTAATTCCGACTTTCCAGATAGGTCCTTGCAGCTTTCCCCCCACTTGTCAGGTCTGAACCCCCCCCCCTCCACTCTCTGGCTTCTGCCAATGGGCAAAGGCCGTTCTCCTTGGGAGCAGGAACCGTGGTTAATCCACCTTTTTCCTGCCCCCTCCACTTTCCCATCTGCTCAGTACCAGAAAGCTCTCCAAAGGAAGAGATTCTGGTCATCCTCGGAATTACGGGGGCAAGGTGCTGATTTCTTCTCAGTCCTCTTTGTCCCAAGTTTGACTCCCTGTGAGCACCATCGGGAGGAAGAAGAGACTCCAAGAACTGCTTAAATGAGCAGGAAGGGTTTGGGGGGTTCTGAATTGAAAACGAGATCCAGTATCATTCCGCCATTCCTTCAGCAAACATTTACTGAGCACACGTCAATGCATCCAGCCCAGAGCCAGTTATTGGGGTACAAAAACAGATATGACATAGTTTTCATTTGGAGATCTCTGGGGTGCCCAAAGGGCTTTAGGGCAGGGTTCCCCTCGAAGAGGCTGGAGTCAGCCCTGAGTCTGAGGCGGCCTGGCGCAGGCTTCCTGGCAACCAGTGGATTCCTTTCCATCCTGCCCCTGAGCCTGGCTGCTGACGTAAATGTACTTCATGATCAATTGACCAAGAGATGTGGCCATCAACAGGCACCAGTGAGGTGTGCACAGCAGGTGGCCAGGGAGCTCTGGGGCCAAAGACTCCAGACCACAGGCAGCCAGCCCTCTATCCTGCCCCAGATCTCCCCCGCCCCAGCCCAGACAATTGACTGTTCAACTCCCTGAGCGGCTACTATGTGTGCAACAAGCAGTGGACGAAGCAGACAGAAATCTTGCCCTCACTGACCAGCATTCTAGCAGAGGAGCCAGCAACTCTGATTACTCGAGCATTGAGTGCCTTGAAAAAACACCACACAGGAGGAACACACAGACTGGAGAGGGGAGGGGCCTGTTTGGATGGAGGGGCCTGAGGAAGTGGCACTGGCCAGAGGCCAGATCCCCTGGGG